AAGACGAATAAGAACTTAAAAATGATCAAAACGTCCGAGTATTTTAAGAACGAATTTTTCAACTTTCTTTTCAACCTCCAAATTTTTGATTGAGTTTCTAAGACCAATAATTTTACCAATTGTGTGTGCCTTTATGTTTTCAAAGGTCGAATCTTGATATCCAAATGTGTATAAATGCTTTGCGACCAAAGATGTAACACATGTGCTGTACATTTCCAAATTCACAACAATTCCCAATTCAAGTTTCTCGAAATTCATATTTAAAAAAATTGCTTCCTCTACATTTCCAAGTGTTAGTGATACCTTTGTGTTATTACTAAATTCTGGTTGCCTCAAATCAAATGATTTAATTTCGAAGAAGGACAAGTCGGCATTTCCAACATATCTACTGATACTCATGCGTTTTAAAATACCATTGTAATTCACTTCTTTAGCAACAAATTCACACTTCACATCTGATTCATCACTCTCAACGATAAAATCAAAGGGGTCATAATTAGAAACACTAAAACTTTGTATAACATCACAATTTAACACCATTTTATCAGTAATTTCAACACTACTTGGACTTGTTTTGTGAACGAAAGAAACACATGTTTTCTGCGTATCAGTTAATGAAAAATCATTCAATACAGTGTTGTTGATGGCAAGCGTCCTTCCGTTGTAATTTTTAATAACAAGCATTTCTAAAACACAGTCGTCCAAATACACATCACCATACACGTTTTCTATAGTTACTTGTTTGACACTTTGGTGTAACACAATTTTCTCAACAATAACGTTGAACATGGAAATTGTACCAATGGTTGTGGTCTCAAAATTCAAAATTTGTCTGTGATGTGACATTTTTCTTAGATATCCTCTTTGAATAGTTTGAATGTCATTTTTGTTGTAATTTTTCAGAACAACATTATTGAGTAAACACTTGTTGAGAACTTCAGTGACTGCAACATCACATTTATCGCAATATGAATCTACTAGAATTTGGTCGCGGTTTAATACATCACGAGAGAATGGTTCATCATTTTCATCAAAATTAGAGAAATGTGTAACAAAGACATTATAAAAACTATTTTGTAGAACACCTATTGGGATGAAATCGAAATCGAAAAAATTAGTATAAATGGCACTATAAATTTTGACATTTCTATACTGCAATTTCTTTTGTGTCACTTTAGAATTTTCTTTTATATCATCCAGATCCATTTCGATTACAATAAAGACGTAATCTGTTAATGGGTGTTTTGAATAATCGAACTTGGAAAGGACCTCAAGTTGACTTGCATAAATTGTCAAAATGACTCTTCTCAAAGTCCTGTGACCAATCATTTCGAAAAGTTGATCGTTTGAATTTGCCGTGAACATTGAAAGGTCAACAAATAGATCTTGGAGATTCTGAAACATCTCTACGTCGCTTGTTAAGCAGTCCAAGTTGTAGAATTTGATTCGGAGTTTTCTGATTTTTTCAATGATGTTTTTTGATTGAATTGTATAAACAGAAAAAGTTTTTGAACACGACAAAAAGTCGATTTCAAGGTGTGTCACGTCTGTCTGCAATTTTCTGTTTTGGTGATCAAGTCTGTCAAATATAATGTTTGAAGCGCTGGAACATTTCTGTATTTTTCC